TGGCCACTGGTCGGCCAACAGGGCGTATGTGGATCACCGTGAAGAGTGTTGGTCCGGTTTGATTAATTAACAGTTTCCCAGACGGCTCGGTTTGTTCGTGCATTAATGGGTCCGTCTAATTGATTTCATCCTTTCCGTCTTGCGGCCTGTGAATGCCGACAAATGTTCGGCGGCGGACAGGCGGTGGACACGCGGCGTATACGTAATGTGTGTTTGAATTATTCAATGGCTGGCAGACGAAAAGGTCAGAGGTTGTGTGCACCGAATGCCGCAAATGATATTTTTAAAAGACGTAGGCGAAATCACAGCCACCATTAAGGCGTCATACCATCAACGGCAACTGCCGTCAGATTAATCTGTTGGCCAATTTTCAATTTAAGCACAACATTAAGGCCAGCCGATGTGCGGAAAGGCGCAAAATTAAAATGAATTAAATTAAAATATGAATTGCACAAGAGGCAGAGCACTTGCAGCCCGATGCGGCAGTCAGATCGAGCGATAAAACACGAGAAGTGCAAGTAAGTCCGCATCGCAAGTCGCTGCCATTGTCCTTCCAATGTTAATGACATAAAAAGCCAAACAGGCGGAGCATAAAGGATAAAGCTGCTGGCTGTCGACGCCTGCATCTGACGCTGATATGGCCCAGTGAAAAGCCAACAAGCAATTAAGCAGCCAGCTGCTTAAAGGCCATCTCCGAAACGAAACGGCATCTGAGAGTAGGACTCCGGCTAAAAGGGGCGGAGGTAGAAACAGAGGCGGAATCTCGAGGACGGAGGATGGAGGTGTGAATCGACAGATGCTCCACAGGACCCAGCGCCTGCATTGACCGACTTCTGGGGCCGCCAGTTCACTTATAGCTTGACTTGTGCCACAAAAGAAACTTAATTGTTTTTTCTTTCAGACTCCGAGTGTTTCCACTGGAAGCTGTTAATTGCTAAATGGTGATATAACCAGGATAATGGTCATTGCTCTAATCAATACTGCCGTCTTAAAAATTAAATAGATTGCAATGAACTTTAAAAGTAATTAAAATTGGGAATTTCCGATAAGTCTCCGTTTAATAATTTATTTTCAAAACCTTCAATAATAAAACCCCTAATAATAAGCAACTTTAAAGGCCTTTGGCCATCTAACTTCTCATCGCCGAAGTTTTCTCATTAGTCGGAAAACCGAATCGAAAAACGCCTAAAGTTTTCCTGGTCGCCGTATCAAATTTTCCATATCCTTGGGTCATTCATAATTAGATGGCTTTCATTGGCACTGGCCAGGTTCCCATTTCATGTGTCGTCGCAGCTCAGATGTGTCGACAGATCCAAGTCGGAGAAAAAATGCTAGCTCTGATATTTCACATCAGCTGCAGAGAAACTTAAACCCTATATTCGAGTTGCATTTTTTGGTCAACAAGCTCTTGGCAGCAGAAGGATTCATTATGGTTTTGTTTTCTTTGGCAGAAGCCAGGGTCCGCTTGCAATTGGTTTAATTTTGTTCGGCTTGACTTGGTCCGTTTCGAACCTGGCATTTATTATGTTGCCCTCAAGGACAAAGAAAGCAGAAGAGAGCTTCTGCAGGCAAACACGCCCCCCAAAAATGATGCCTTCTGGTGTCCGGATCCCCGTCCGGATCCTGTCCATGTGTGACAGTGTTTGTGCTGGGTTTGTTTTTGTTTGCCCAGCACACAAAGTGTCATAAATTAATTCTGTGTGGGTGTGCTGGCTGCTGGCTTTTGTTCTCTGCTCTGATTTTGTTTGCAAAAATTGTCAACATTATTTCATTTTCAGATGCGTTGAAGCATAAAATGAATTAACAAATATTTACAGCAGACATTACTTGCAAGATATGTGTTTGGTCTTTAAGAAGCTTACAAGGAATTTGAAATCAGAGTTATATAAATTAAATATTCACTTGATTTAATCCATTATTCTAACTTAAACGTCGAAATCATAAAGAAAAGTAAAATCATAATAGGATAAGTTGAGGCCATTGATAGCCATTCACACATTTTAGTGTAAGTAACTTTTAAGAGGAATTGGGGAATACTCACTTAGATAGACCAGTCTCTTGAAGTCAACTTAATGAAATGGACGTGGCGCAGACATTCGAAGAAAACTGCAATCGAAGAGGAAACGTCTTGAGTGAAGCTCGAGGATGCGAATGATGCTAAAGTGGATTCCGATGCCACTGACACCGGATCTTATATCCTGCCAGCCTGATGAGCCGTAACGAAATGCCTTAGACAGCTGCGGCCAAAAATCCTTGAAACGATTTTATTGCTTTGACTCTGGCTCGGGTCCTGCTGGGAAATATGCGAACTTCAAAGGATAATGCTCGAATGAGCAGTTGTTGGTTAGTCGCTAATGGAGGCCGGCCTTTTAATCAAGCGCATTCCAATTTTAGTTGGAAATTTGGAAGCGCTATTCTGGTGCTGGATTAATCCCTTTGACATCGCCGACGCTGAATAATTTTTTATATTTAAAGCTGGCTCTTTTTTCACCCGCTGCGTCGCGTAATTGCAGCAAATCCTTTGCTGACACAAAACGTCCATTGTTACATCGCGAAATTGTTTGTTAAGCTTGGCCCTAAGCTCGTCCCCTTGGCTACCGCACTGTTGGCCTTCAAAAAAGCGACCCCCTCGATGGCAGAAAAACATTTTATGTTTGTCACAACGATATGTAAAATGCGTGGCTTATCCGGATTACCGAATGTTGCAGCCCACAAACATTAGCACAACTCTCTCGCTTTTTCCCACATATATTTTTCCTATTTTAGGTTGACCAAAAATAGCTGAGCTGAATTTAAATATTGAAAAACCGCTTAACAGAAATAATTTTAAAGTCTGATGTCCAGATATTCGTTGTGGGAGTTGAAAAATTAATAGTTTCATGAAATGTAGCTATGCATTTCACAGAATATTTTTTTTAGTGATCGCCTAAAGCCCAAAAAAGTGCTCAATTTGAGCAATAGACTCCCGGGGAGACAAATATTTATTGCCCTGTTGAACTCCGAAATATTTCTCGGGCAAGGCTTAACTTGGCCATTACTCTTTTTTGCTCCAGTTTGTCAGAGGCACTTCGTTCTAGTTGGCTCTGAGGAATGGCCCTTGAGCAATGGCGCTCATTAATTCAATTGTGTTGGCAACTGGGAGGAAAACTAAATTGGTTTCTTTTTTGCTTTTGGTTTATTGAAGTTTATTACTAAAATTTAAATTAAAATTTTATTGGAAATACATATACCATATACCATATTACATATACCATATACATACAATTATTATTAGAGTTGTAATTTCAATTGTAATTTATTCGCTGTTTTGTAGCATTTTTGCATGAGAGTGACAAATTAAATAATTGCATTAAATGTGGCCAAAGTAGGCAGAATAGTTGACACATTAATTGGCAAAATGTCAGAGGGATTTTTTCATAATATAATTAAACGATAATGCGGTATACTCATTTTATTAAGTGGAAACTTTAATCATATGCAAATTATTTGACTGTGAGCATTAAATACGAATTCGCAAGCTGCTTTGGTATCGAGGAACTAACATTTAACTTTTATTTTTATGTTTAATCGTTTCACGTTTTTTTTGTTTTTTTTGTTTTGTTTTTTTTTCATATTTCACATGGTTTTTAGCTTTAATATAGTGAAAGCCCTTAACCTAGTTACTAGATTCTGTATATATTTTGTATGCATCGTGTGTTTTATATATGTTTATAAGTATTTATCATTTAAAATATTATTATTGTAAATAATTAAAAATGGAATCGCGTAAGTGCTCTATAAGAAAATCGTTAAGAACTTTCATGGTAATTCCTTGGGATCACTAAACTCTCGATAATTCTATTAATTATTCTTCGTTCGTTTTGTTTATTTTTTGTTTTCTTTACCTACTTTATGCCGAATTGTTTTATCTGCACTACAAGTATTTTGTTTCGTGAATATCAATTGATATCAATGTTACTTTGTATTAATTTTAATATTTAATTTAGAATTTCATGAGCAGTGGTGTGAAAATTTTTTCGATTTTCGCTAGTGTTCGTTTCTATTATAGTAATCCGTATCACCTTAAAGCTACGTTCACATGTGTATTCAATAAACATTTACTTATTTTTCCAGTTAATTAACCTTTGCTCATTATATTATAAACACTAATTAGCGGTTGTCTTAAGGATGTCAATAAATAATTGATAGATTTCCAAAAAATATTACTGTTTCAAAGTGCAAAATCACAGACCCCAAAATAATCTCACTGTGACTTTGACATTTGCGTAATATTCGTGGATATATTTTGATGGAAATTATAAGAAAACGTCTACTTCTCCTGACAACTTATTTTTTTCAAGCTTTGCTGGAATTTTGCTCAGGTGTAATTTATTTCTACGTTTGCTTTTAAACCTTAGGTGTACTTAGTATGATTATGAAATGCATTCAACACGAATTCAGTGATATTCATATAATTCATATTATGACTGCGATTTCTTATGTACTTGTGACAGCTGGCATAATCTTACATGTTACATTTTCATTGTTTATTCTTTAATTTTAATTTTATTTATATCTCTCTTTTTTAACACGATTTAAGTAGTAATTTGGCATTGCAAATGTTTTCGGATGTGAATATGAAATAGTTTACCTTTTGGATGTTCTCACATCCTTATCCTTATATTTTTTAAGGTATATTCTTTGGTTTTTCATTGTTATATTTGGGAAGACAGTCAGAAATACCAAGCCTCAAAATATTAACGAGAAACACATATAATTCATAATCGCGTGATATTAAAAATCTCACACTAATAGGATCAAGTTGAAAATTTTATCTCTTTTTTAGTTTGATTAGGTCCCGTTCACAGAATTTTGGTTTGATTTTTTTTTGGTAAGCTAGAAACAAATATTAACCGTCGAAATCTTTACATTTGTTTTCCAAACAATAAACTCAACAAAATAGAATATATAAAACAAAATCATTAAAGATGGTGAAATTAAATTAAATTTTTTATATAATCAATTAACGCCGCGCATTCCATAGATCAAGAACAGTTGGCCAGGCCATTGAGAGAATTGGCAGAGTCAACAGGATCACGGAATAGGCCATCTGGGTGCCGGAATTACAACCGTCCTCGGTGCAGCAATATGTTTGTGTCTCCCAGATTTCTAATCAAATAATCAGAGCAATACATTATAATTATTTGAGGTCAAAACAATCAATTAGATAGGAAAATAACATTGAATATGTGGTCGTAAATTATAAAAAACTATATATGTATCTATTGTTCATAAAATATGAACTCTGTGTTGCTAACTTGATTAAATTTGTTGGCTAAAATAAACCAGCCCACTTACCTTTTTCCACGCATTCGGTAGCACAGTCGCGCACGGTCGAGAGCTCGCTTACATATTTCTATAAATAAGAGCAGAATAAATGCATTTTAATTGAGGTATTTCGATACACATTTAAATAATTCTGATTTAACCAAGTCCAACTCCATATGCAATGTCAATAAGATATTTATTTCATATTGGAATGCTGACCAAATGTGTATAAATATAAAATATGTTTTCATTTTTCTGTTTATTTAATACTCGTTATGCGAATATTTATAACAAAAGCAAAAAGGCTACATTTTAAAAATACTCTTCATTAAAAAATTAATTAGTGCTAATTATTAAAAACAGGTTTATTTTATGCTAAAGGATAATGTTACTAAAGTGAAAGTAAGGTAATTTTACTAGGCAAAAAATGAAGAAAAAGCTAACAAAAATATACAAAAACGTTTCTGGGAGAAAACATAAAAATTTTACGACCGTAATTCGGATTGCGAAAGAGGATTAAAAAACCCCAAGAAACAAAACAACTTTCTGGGCCAAAGGTCGAGAGATGTTGGCAGTAAACTTGGTCAATATGAGTGCTTATCTTGGTAAGTAGGTCATAAGTATGTTATCTCCGGAGCTGTACCGCTGACCCACGCAGATTTTAATCAAACCCTAAAATAGCCAAAGCCAAAGTTGCCAAAAACCTGCTCCTTTGAAGTCTAGGTGATTCCTTAAAAGAATTATATATTTCACTCACACATGCCCACAGCCATTTGGGGCGTTTGTGTATTGTAGTCTAAACCACTTTTGATGCTCTTTTAACGACGGTTTCGTGAGTTCAACGATGAGGTCTCCCAGGACGCCCGGCTACGATAAATAAACATAAAACACATCGTACAACGACTTCGTAATATACTTGCAACAGCCACTGCACAAGCTGCTTTTTACATATGGCCGACATTAAAGTTTACGACAACATAAGCAAAGGGACACTAAACACACACAGATGACAGAGATAGTCAGGGGGTCCTGCAGCTTGGCCATAAAATGTTCAAGGATCATCCCCATTGTAAATCTCTTTTAAACTCGCAAGTAAATTGAAAAACGAGGCGCCCCTAAGTAGGCAACCCATTTCAGAGGCGCTCCAGAGCTTTGCGGTCCATTAAGCAAATAATAAACATGTTCAATAATTACCCCGGTATGTGCAACGTGTGAGCGTATTATACTTTGGCCGCAGACCTGCAACAATGCACCTGCAACTAGCAACCTGCATCCTGCCACCTAGCGCCACGACCCACTAGCTGAGTTTGTACGCCCCGGGATAGGCATTACAAAACACGTGTTCGCAATAGCAGGAGGCTATAAGAATACAAGGACACCGATAAAAATTGGGGACTATAAATACAAGTATTTAAATTCTGATTTCACATTTTCTGATTTTTTATTATAGCCATTATCCTCAGGTAGTAATTGTTTTAAATGCATTCTTTTTATTGACACCACATAATATTTGTTTTTTGCCTGTGCATCAGGCATCATCCTTGGTGCGGAAAGCAGTCAGCCGAGGCAGCTTATGGGGCACTTAAACCGCTTAATCGATTGCGCCGCGAGGTGGCGAAGCGCCAGGGCAGACAATGTGCAACAATCCGAGTCCAGAACCCGGCTAAGCCATTCCGCAGCACTTAACGACTTGGCGTGCTTATCGGCCATTCGTTGCTGCAATTCCATGACATCTGCAGTTGCCAGCAGCCCGGCCACAGCACATTGGCAGCTCATTGTTTATGTAACAGGTCCGGTGATAGTGACCGCCTTTATAGACCCTCATCTCTGCACTTTGGCCCATTTATTAGCCCCATTTCAGTCCTATTAAAATGAGATGACACCTAGCATATTGTAAATACAATACATATACGAATGTGTGGCATCCAAACGAGCACACTCTGCCTTCCTCTGGCATGTTTTGTGCATAATTTGTGCTCCATATGTGTGCTTTGTTACACTGGGAGAAAAGGTAATAGGTTTTGAAAATACAACTTCCTACTTAAATACAATTTGTATTTAGCGATAAACCACTTTTTATAATATATATCCTTTGATTTTGTGCAAACTAGAGGTTTTTCCTTGTGTAAGTAGCCGTATTAGCCCAGTTAAGGGTGGCACAAGGGTAAGCTCATTATATTATGCGATGCCACAAAGTGCGTTTGCTGTGTCTTTGGGTGCTGGCCTGGATGGGGGCTAAGTAATGTGGCTAATATAGATAATGTGGGGATAATCACTGGGAACAGCCACACGTCTTGTAGGCTGCCAGCCCCATGATTATGTGGAAGCTATTTTGAATTTTTGATGTGGGCGTTGCTGAGACCCACAAATAAAAACGAAATCTCCATCATTTCTTATGCAATCAACTGATTTACCACAGAAATGGAAGAAAACTTAATTTCCTTGCCGTTCCTCAAGCCAGGCATTTCATATTACTATCTTCAGTAACTCACTTGCAGATGCAGCCGGCAGCCAGCAGCCAAAGATTTATGCATTTGGCCTAGTTTAAAAAAGAAATGCGAACAAAAAATGGCCAGGCCGGGATGGAGCGGCCCAGGAGGCAGTGGGCGTGGTTATGGTCTGTAGAGCACGTCGAGCAAAATGCAGCTCGGCATGTTATTTGGTTGTTAGGGCAAAAGTTGGACCAAAGGAAAACACGAAAACCGTTGAGCAGAGCAATAATCTTGAGACAGACAAGGAGCCGAGTTTAAGCCAGTTCTGGGGGAAAGTTACAGCCCTTGCAGTTGTTGTTTTTGCTGTATCTGTGCTACTTTCACTTAAGCCAGTTATATCATCTCTGCTTAGTTGTGATTTGAACAAGCAAACGAAGCCCTAGCCCTCTAAGGCCAACCAACCAACTCAGGCAGACGGCAAATGATGACGACGTTGATGATTTCAATTTTGCATGCGAGTGACAGCAAAAATGAGGCAAAAAAGGAAGAACCTCTAAAAACTAAAAGACGCAACTTGCAAAAAGCGAGTAAAAAGTGGTAATGACAGGAGATGTACTGCCATTACAAAAAAAGGGCAAAAAATTATATCTAAGATACCCTGAAAGCATGCAATTGAGGCGACTCTTTGGATCTCAGAAATTGATAAGAGAATATCAGAAATAGAATTAATATAATGGTAATACTTAGATGAATAATTACAGATTATTTTACTATGAAGTTTTACTATTTTACATAAAAATTTGCTTTACGAATTATAACTTCTTTTAAAGGATGTTATCAATATTCTCAAATACCCTTTCGTAGAAAACGGAAAATGGAAATAGATGCGCAAACGTTGAAAAAGAAGGCTGATGGGGCAGGAAGCGAGCCACAACGTCATCAGTGGCAATGGCAGCGTTGAACTGGGTACATGTGTGTGTGGAAGCACCGACAGGTCTCAGGCTGCATTCCCATCATCTCGGCAACGTCCTTAAGCCATTTATGAAAATTTCAAGTGTTCGAGACGGCAGATGGCAGAGGGCACGACGTTGGCATCTTAATCTTACGGAGGAAGATGATGATTTGCCTCAAATCATGTGTGAGCCCTGTATGTGAGTGCTTGTGTCCTCAATGGCAGAATGGTGGAATCTACTAATGCATGTTAATGCCCATGCATCCACTGGAATGATGCACAATTTTTTTGCAACCAAATAACTCAATTTGTTGGACTCAAGATGAAAGAGAGCAATATATTTCAAATATAATTTGACGATGACAAGAAACCACTTAATGGATTCTGAATTGCAAATGAGCAGTACGTCTACTAAATGCCTTATTTAATCTATGGCTGCCCGTCTTGACATTTATTCCGCAATCTCAATAAATCCTTTCAGCAAACAGCCCCCTGCCATTCCGTCCCGAAAATCATCAGCGAATCGGGTCACGAACTCGATTGTGAAATCCACTCAAACATTTTTAGAGGCGCCACAGTTGCAACATTAATTACAGAATCGTGACTTATCAAATAGCCAGGGGCATCGACATTAAAATAATTTCAAACGGATGTGCCCCGATGTCGCCAACAAATGAATAATTCAAGCTTTTATGTGTTTGAAAATGTTGATGGCGAAAATCTCTTTAATTCAATTTCTTAATGAAATTTCACGAGAATAATGATAGAAAGTGAGAAATGCCTCTGCGTTCAGTCAAGCGAATATGCAAAGGAACCCAATGAGGCGGATACACAAAACGCTTCCCAAATGTTCGGTGCGAAAAGGACCAGTGTCGAGAAAAAGTGCAATGAGACAGTTTTTGTTCTGCAAAATCGAAAAGTACTCTCAAAAAGTTTTGGGACACAAAACGACTGAGCCTCATATGCATTTTGCTCAGCATTGCCCTTCAATTATTAAAGCCGAATTGTGCCCAGGTGTTGTGACAGGCGCAAAGCAATCCTTTTCCATCCCATCCTGGCTGAGCCTTGAGCTCTCGCTTCAGTTGCCACATTGAATGAGCACAGAAACTTACTCTACGATATTCGGTGTGCATCCTTGCCTTCTGGCTGGTAGCTAGTGGCTGGTGGATGCTGGGTGCTGGCTTCTGCTGGTGCCGCTCCATTATCAAAATGCAATTTCATCAATGCTGGCTTTGAGACCTCAAAAAATCCGGCCAGCAACAAAAAAAATGTTAAAATGTCTGAAATTTGATTTTCCTCTAAGAGCGAACGATGCACTCTGCCACTCCGGCATCAGCTTTCAGCAACGGCTCAGTGTAAATCCCCCATCTCCATAACTCTCTACAGCCCCTGTCTAAAATAGGAGAGCTCTGAAAATGTTGCCTGGTAGTTTGGCATACTAGCAGACAAGAAACTATATACGTCGAGAACTATAAACGAAAAGACATGGAAAGAAATACTCAAGCACACCACTACTTTAATAATTATACCCTTGCAGAGGGTATTGTCAGACAGGTCATGAATTTTATGTAAAACGACTCATCCACCAAAAATATGTGTATTTATACCCAGTTCTAATGAAAGGTAATTGCCTTTGGCATCTATGTGTGACCATGCGTCGTATACGTAATTAAATAAACTGGCTTAATCATTTGCAAGGACTAT